TGATGATGATGATGGTGATGATGATTATAATGATGATGATGGTGATATAGGTGATGATGGATGCTGAAGATGATGACAACGGAAGACGATAATTATTACTATACGTACTTAACATTTGTTGAGTGTTCCTTGTGTTCCTTGCAGACTTTCTATGGAGAACTGCGTCAGTTACTTCGCTACATCAAGGATAATTATGGCGGCGTATTTTGGAAAGTCGCCATGAGTGGATTAATGGATTGTGCGTACAAAGGTAAGAATACTCGATTTATCATTAATTTAATTCATCTGATTTTTATCGTGTCTCCGTTCTCCCCCACTCCAGCCTTTGTCCACTAGGCTACCGTGCTTTATTAACCCCCCCCCCCCCTTCTTCTCGTTCTCAATGTAACCGTAGCCTCGATAATCTTGATCGCCTCCCTTCCTACCGTGGACTTCATCTTTTCTCCTCGTAACGACTCCGTCCATTTCGTGACCGAAAAATGTAGTTACACTGCCTTACGGTATCTACGCCTGCTGTCTATCGTGACACTGAAGTGGTTTCCCATTGTTGTTACGCATTACTGTCAGAACTCCATTTATTTTGTACTCCTTGATTTTCTAGGCAAGAAAGAAGATGCTAACGGAGCTAACAAGGACGCTAGCAAACCCTCATCTTCAAAGGATCCGGCACGAGCTGTCAAGAAAGAGCCAAGTATTTCCAAAGGAGACAAAATGACTCCCAAGTCGACAAGACGAAAGTTTTTCAAGGGCCAGAAATTTGGACGGACCACTGATGGGTCGGAGAATGACCTTCGTGCTCTCGGTTCGTCCACTATTAGCAGAACTATCTCTGATGGAACGAGTCTTGAAGACACTATGTCGCCCCGGTCCAAGAGGAAGGTATGCGGGACTTTTTCTATTCCGTATCCTTAGCCTGCGCTTTATTTGGTCTCTTCCATAAAGTGATGGAGCATGCGCAAATCCAAAACCGAAAGTGGCGCTTACTATTTCCGCTTCCGGTTTGATTGTTACGGTTACATTAGCCAATCAAAAACTCTAAATTTTGGTCTATTTCAGATATTTAGTCTTGGAGCATGGCGGAAACAGCGGGCCATTGGACAGAACTACGACAGTGACGAGGACGGGGACGATTCTCCTGACAACTCACTACCACAAATAAGCCTTAAGAAAAAACGCTTTAAAGAAAAAACCAGAAAGAAGCTAGACGATGTGTTCCCGATGAAGGCAGTCAACAAGAAGCTAATTACTTCGTCTTCCTCCTCGCTACCAGATAACGGCTCTCCGACTGTCGATATAGCGGTACCAGATTATGAGAGAAGACCGGTAGATATTGGAGCGCTTAGAGAGGGAATGATTAGATTGAGATTTTTAGTGAATGCATCGCAACCCGGTGCTGTCCCTGATCCACATATCGTGGCAGCTATGCTGGAACTGGTAGGTCAACAAGCATTTTCTTCATGGGTCTTTCCCTTGAGTATTACTTCTTTGTTGACTAGTAATGCCCAAGAGGATACGCTAATATCCTTGAACCCTTCAACCCCCACACTCCCCCCCCCCCAAAAATTCCCACTAGAACAACAGACGGTCTAAAATGATACCCATTGTGTCAAGATGGGTTATGACTATTACCCCCCCCCCCCCCCCCCCCCCCAAATATCCCTACCCCCCCCCCCCCCCCCCCCCCCCCCCCCCCCCCACCTCCTTTCTTCCCCCCCCCCCCATTCAATGTCATTGTAAACTAAGTTCCTATGAGGACGGCCATGCAGTTAACATATATGATTGAAGTCCTTACGCCTGAATAAGGGTGTTTGCCGCTTCTTTTTTTCGCCACAGGAAGCACCAGTCGTAGCTCGTGCAGCTCTACTTCTTGAATGCGCGCATCTCGTCCACCGCTGTAACAAAGGAGAATGGCCGACATGGCTGCGTGGTAGCCTGCCTAACTTAGCACAAAGGAAGGGTAACGCCCCGAAAGCTATCTCGTTATCTACTCCACGGCGTAATCTCGTCGCTATGCACGAAGCAGGTAAGCTGTTCCACAGCTGGGGCGTTGCCTTAGGACAGAAACTCGAAACGGTGTTGAAGAAAAAGAAGCAGAGCTTGCCCTCTATACAAGAAGAGGAAGGGAAACGAGTTGAACTACTGGAAGAAGAATTCGAGGAAGACTTTCTTGATGAAGGTAAGTCTTGTGACGTCATGCGGATTTTACATTACGTCATACGGTTGGGATGTGACGTCATGCATATTGACTCACAATGAGGTGATATTGGATCCATGGTTTTGTTAACGTGTCAAGGCTATGCGTGACGTCATACAGGTTAATCTGACCTCATAAAGTCCCCCTTTGTAAATGAGGTCATATTGGAGTAGTAACATCAAGACGTCATGGTTGTTGTAATTGGCTCGACTTATTCTAAGCTATTTGTTCAGGTACACTAAGTGAATCGAGCCAAGGGTGTCCTTATCCCTTGAAGATGATTGCTTGTCAATTACTGATCGAAATCACGGGGTTTCTCCGTGAGAGTCATGGTATCTATCAAATACGACGCGATAGCAAAGGTATGCAGGGGCGTGGCAGAGGACGGAAGAGTTTTGGTGGCGGTGCTGGAGAAAAAAGAAGGTGAGCTGATTAACCTGTATTATTATTATTATTTATTATACCCACCGTTTATCAAAAGTAACCTACCGAGAAAAATGGTCAGGGTGGTTGGTAACATTTCGTTCACCAGCTTATGACGATGGCGCACATTTCCCCTCTGTCACTGACTTCTGCGTTTTAAAGCTAAAGACATGGATTAGAGAGTTTATGAAGTCGCTGAAGATCGGAATGACCGTTGTATCGTCTAGATACCGATCTGAACAAATCTTCCTTACTCCTATTGTGTTGAATTTGTATTGGGAATATGCTGGCATCGATTTATGGTGTCAGAATCACTGAATTCTTTCTCAAGTGTAGTCATTGTTTTTGCCAACATGGCGGCCGGATCGCCAACTCTCTACTGAACACCATAAATGGTTTTATCTCTAGGTCAACCCACTTTGGTGATACTCATCCTATTCGTTTGAGCGGGTATTTCGGAGGAGGAGGAGAAAGAATCAGGAAGTATAGTGCTATCAGCCAGAGTTCAGTCCCATCGGAAATCAGTACCACTGTAAGCACTAGTCCTGGACGAAGCAGCCCACACGAACCTCCTGTAAGTATGAAAAACCACAGGGAGACCAAGCTTGGGATTTTTTAGTGCAATGCTGTGAATAGAGCGGTTTGACTCACGTGCGAAGGCAGCCATATTGGTGTACCAAACATTGGAAACTTTTTGCACAGTTTTTGTATAAAAATAGAGTTCAATTCCCCGAGAATAGAAAATGTATTGTTTTGGTACACCAACATGGCCGCTGTGACGTCACGTGAAAACTTGAATATTTCTCGGTTATTTCCGAAACATTTCTCGAAAATTATTCTGGCGATTTTCAACATTTTTAAAGCGGTCAATCGAGCCACTTGACAGTCTATAATCTGCCGGTTTGATTTGTTTCTGGTTTAGGTTATCATCGTCCCCGACCAAGAAGTCAAAGCAGCAGACGACTCGATTCTCTTGAGAAGGCGAGCATCAGATATCGGTAAAGAAAGAAAACTGTCAGATATCGGCCCACAAGACAACATCTCGTCTCCCAAGAGGAGCAGTCTACATCTACCAAGATCGAGCCTTGGCAGCTCAAGCCCCAAGCTCAACAAGTAAGCAAAACTTTAGTCTCAGGCTACAAAGATTTGACCTTATTTGTTTTTGCATGATCAAGTGTTGCATACCCCTTGCATGTGATGTTAAAGCAGGTCTATTTGGAGGACAAAACAAAAGAATTTCAATCTCCTGAGAATTGGAAACATATAGTAATGTCCTCGAAATTGGGCTGCATTCCGACATGCTGCAAGGGGTAATAGCATGGAAAGCATTTTCACTTTTTGGTTTCTGAATTCTTGGTTTTCGTTTGCGCCATGTTGGCAAAATTTCAGTTAGAAAAACGGTTTTTTGATTTTTTTGTTTGCTATCCACCAACATGGCGGCTTCGCTTTTAATGGTTTGACACTGTAACGAGGTTAAACGTAACTACGTAAGCCTGTAATCGAGAAACACAGCGGTATTAACCAATTTTATACATATGATGTAGTGAGTAAAATCGTACTAATTTCCAGGACAACTCGTTCAAGTGTTGGTTTCGGAAGCGACTTCGACAACACACGACCAAAGGGAAAGAGAGCTACAGTCAAAGGCAAACGACAGAGCGGGCCTGAGTCGAGCTCAGGTGGAACACATGAAGACGATGACGAGTCCGAGGATGACGAAACCACTCGGTTCCCATGGTTACATTCTGTAACAATGTTGAACAGTTTCACGTCATATCTTTGTGATCACCAGTCAAGGTAAACTAGTTGAATCCAGGTGGAAGACAAAAGGCGAAGGGGTGGGAGCTGGGGAATGAAATTTATTTCATAATAATATAAATTTTAATCCCTTCTCAGATGTCCTTCAAATTGCCATCAAAGACAAACTCGTCTATGTGCCCGGCTCATCAAAGCTTTACAGAACGTTTACTCGGGCTCTTCTGACAAAACTCTGGAGAGAGAAAAAGAAAAGCCTGAAAAACTTGACAAGAGTAAGAGCAGGACTGGGTTCACCTTGACGAGCCTACACCTCGGTTCCCCTCAACACAGCCTCTCAGGAAACGACTTCAAGAACTGCAAAGAGAAGACCGATGAAGTTATGCTCGAGTACATTAAAAGCAAAGTAAGTGTTTCTATAGCAACCACTCACTGAAATAGTAGACAACCTAGTGTCGCTTGCGTTTCCACAGTGGTTACTATAGTAACTACACGCAGTCGCCACAGAACGCCTTCAAACCTATTACGTTTAATTGTAATAAATGATACTATTCAGATAAGGGTTTATATTTAAGCTATCAGGTTGTCATGGCAACCAATGTTCATCAACATTCTCTGTTATGAAAAAAATACGCTCTAATATATTAGCTTGATTATAAAAAAGGTTAAGGATTTTAAAGAAAAATTATAAGATTTACAAAGAAAATTTTAGCCCCCAGATTCATTGTTATGGTAACCTTAACTGTGGTCTATATTCTTTGTCTACGTTCAGCTCTGTGGTCTAACACACTGTGCATTCTCGCTCATCTCGAAAGCCGGTACGGTGATTGATCGTGAACTGTTGGAGGAGACGCTGCCTATCTCCTGGGAGCTGCTGCTTGATGGAGACCAACAGCTGGTGTCTGCTGCTGGTGAGTAATATCATGACGCGTAACCTTTATGATGTAGCATCATTTGAACCAGCGCGAGATCACTGCTCATGTAATCAAGATGCTTGGACACGGCACCGCTATACGGTCACGGGACGGCAGCGTTAGAGTAACGGCTCGGCACCGTTACGGTCACGGCATGGCACTGTTAGGTCACTGGAATGTAGCGTTAACGGACACCGACGACAGTATTACAGTCACGGGATGGCAGCGTTATGGCACGGCACTGTTACGGTCACGGCACGACAGCGTTACGGAACGGCTCGTCGCTAGTACGGTTTCGGTACGACAGCGTTACCGGCAACCCATCTGAGCACACGAGATTACTGAGTGCTCTCCAATTAAAATGCTCGGTACAACACCGTCATGACAACGGAACGTCCCTACCGCGAGTTTTCAGAGCCTTAGGAAGTTTTCGATGTGATTTGGGCGCAGTGTTCAGTTTCCTTTCCAGATGTATAATTCCCTTAACTCTTTGTACGAGTCACATATAATCGTATCTTTTCTAGTCCTACCGGAAAACAAAGAAATGATTCTCAAGGGAATGGCTCTGGGACTGCATCGCCCTTTAGGTCTTTCTCTTTCTTTCGTTATGTTTATTCATCTTGGATTTATTATCTTGCAGCCTCGGTGTTCTTGTTGTGTGGCATACGCTTGAAGGATAAAGTAACAGAGATTTTGTTCAAGGAACTCACGTGTAATGACCCGGATGACAGGGTCAGATCTCTCTTGAGGTACGCCACCCATTTTATCTGCCACAGAGAACCAAATTTAAATTAAAGGTAGAAATAAATTAGAAAAAATTGCCTTTATTATTTCATTTTTATTTGAGGCCAATATAGTTCGTCTATAGCTCAAGCAAACGAAAAAAAATCACGTATAATGTAATACAATATTATGATTGCAGCTTTATCTAAATTGGGTTCCCTGTGGGTAGATAACTAAGTGAGTTCAAAAGAACGAACTRAAGGTTTTATGTTTGTTTAGGTATGAAGTGCTATGGCAGTCTAGGTACCATGCCTGGCCAAGGTTAGAGGAGGGAGCCTCGTATATACTTAGGGTAAGTAAGTGATGAAGGCATACACTTCTTTTTGCCTTTTCTCTTCTCTTCTCTTCTCTTCTCTTCTCACAACAGGGTGTACTGACCATGGTATCGTATGACTTATCTATACATCTTGTGTTATCAGGTACCCCCACCAAAAGTTGACTTCACCCTCCCCTCCCCACCACTTGGCTTACATGCCAACCAAGCACCAGACTGTCCCTGGGACCCCGTCATGTTGCTTGAGGAGCAGCCAGGCAACAGAAAAGCCAAGAACAAAGATAAGAAGAAAGTTAAGGAGGCTGTGGAAGCAGAAGCTAAGAAAAAGATGAGACAAAACTTCCCACTCAGGACACTACCAGTGTCTCTTGAAGCTACCATGGGATCTAATGACGAAGAGAAAGCTGGTAGGTGGATGATTGACAGTTGCTATAGCAACAGTGAATGTCATGTCTTTCCATGTCGTGAAAAGGGAATCTACTCCCAAAGATTTGTGATCCATGTGGTAACCCTCCCCTGTAGTGGGAATAACAAACTAGATCGCTATGTCAAATAGAAACCTTCCCGTTTCTTATCAAAGGGAGTCCAATTGAAATCACGCAAATAAAAAAGGGCGGGAAAATATTAGCTTTGATTTACATCAGACCAAATTTTTTCAATGACGTCAAATGATACGAAGAAATTTCAAAATTGGGGTAGCAGATTTTCTGGAAATTATGCAACTTTGTCTCATTGGGCAGTCGGTGTCTTTTTTTTTTTGTTCTTTGCTTGAATTTTTAATTTCTGAGGACAATATTTTCCCAGCTTCTGAATGATACCTTTGGGTCACACTATACGTTCTTGTAGAACTTTGTAAAATTACGCAATGAATTGTTTCCTCAGCCTATGACTAAAACATTTAAACTTCCTTAAACATAAACATAAATGCGTGTAAAACTGTACCTTAAATAATACTTTAGAAGTGAAAGAGAGAAATTTGTATAAGCCGAGAAAGTTCTTTACTAAAAGTGCATGGTTTCTGACTACTTGTCTGTCAATAATTTGGTTGCAACAGTGCTTCGTGTGTCAAAACCTTTAAATCGCGCCTCACGAGTTACTGAAACACCTCCAGTTACATTTGCTTCACAGAATGCCACAGGGCATTGTTTTGGGACCACCAAAACCAATGCCTCGCACAAAATTTCTCTTTGTTATCACTCCTTACTCTATTTACTTCACGCACAACAAAAAAGTCGCAATCGACAAAGAAAATCGCGTGTCGTAAATCGAACTAACCTTACGTCATACTTACGTCACTCATACTGATACACTCAGGGCATTTACGTTGGTTTCATCTTAAATGGGAGCAGGCACAAGGACGAGTCAAGGACGAAAATACGCAACCTGGTAATATCTAATGTTACTAACTTTACTCTCATAAAAACCTAACGGATTTTTAAAATATTCTCAGAAGTTTTTGGACAGATTGTCTGGCCTCTGGCCTTGTCTTAACGGTGCAACGATTTCCCATCTCATTCCTAACTTGTCTCGCGAAAAATTATTGCAGATCTTACAAGCCCATAATTTCTGAGAATGGTGGCTAATATTACCTGTTTACTATTTATTTCTGCTAACATTTAATTAAAGAGATTATTCTGCATGTTCTTTTAACTGCATGTATAAGTTTCAACACTCTTCCGACTTAACGCTGGCTTAATGCCAAAACGAKGAATGGGGAGGGGAGGGAGGGGGGAGGAATTGAAGAGAAGAACACAGGTGTATTAGGGAATATAATATTTTGCTTAAAGAGTGGTCTTGCAGTATCATGACCATCTGCTCTATTGTTAGGGGAGGGGTGAGAAGGATTGTTGTTTCATCATTGGTAAACTTTATCTGGTTTCTTTGGTTCTCATAGAATCTGGTCATCAAGTGAACCCCAAGGTTGTGGCCTGCAGCTCTTTTGTCAGGGGAGGGGTGGGAAGGATTTTTGTTTCATCATTGATAGACTTTTTCTGGTTTCTTTGGTCCTCATAGAATCTGGTCATCAAGTAAACGCAGAATTGTGGCCTGCAGCTCTATCGTCAGCGATACCTCACATCATTAAGTTACTGGATGATGTTGTGGTTGACAGTAATAAGACTGCAGGTTTGTTCAAACACAATAAACCTACTATTTCCTCTCATATTCCCTGACCCATTTCTCTTCTCAATCTCTCTCTCGACTTATTTTCTTTTCCCGCCCYCTTCGTTACATTTTGCATCTTCTTTTCTCTTTGCTCCTCCTTTTCCTTTCCCTCTCAGTCAGTCTCTCTCCCACTTTTAGTATCTCTTCCTTTTTTCCATCTCTTTTGCTTCCTCTTTTCTCTCCATTTCTCTCCCCTCCTCTCACATCTTTGATACTTACCATTTCCCTGTAGTGATGGAGGTGGCATATCGTATCATATGGAATTGTTTGGTAGAGGATCCAGTGCTGTTCTTTCGAACTATACTCGAAGATATCACCAAGAAAGATAAACAGGTGACAGTTAATAGAATAATAAAATCTTAATGGTTATTACATGATATTGATAGATATGGTGTCGCTGCTGCTGCTGAAGATTATGACGATTAATGTTGATAAGAGAGTAATGATGATGATGGTGACGATGATGATGATTATAATGATGGTGATGATGGTGATGATGGTGATAGTGATGATGATGGTGGTGATGATAGTGATGATGATGGTGATAATGATGATGATGATGATGATACATGATGATGATGATGATGGTGATACATGATGATGGTGATGATGATGGTGACGATGATGATGATAATAATGTTGATGATGATGATAATGACGATGATGATGATAATGATGGTGATGATAGTGATGATGATGGTGATATTGATGATGTTGCTGCTGCTGATGATGATGGTGATG